TTACCTGACCAGTTATTCATTCATATGATCCAGCTGCGGCTATCATAATTTTTCTTAACAGGCGCGCGGGGCTGCGAATTTTTTTTAAATGGTAGGCATGCAAGGAGATGGTATTTGATGGCACTGTTTGATCAGTGTTACAGCCTTCATTCTGGACTACGACAATTCTCATGGTTTACGGTAAACAACAATTCTTAATTTTTTACTTTTTATTTAACTCTTTGGACAACAGGGGGGGGGCATGGCGCCCTTGGCTCCTCCCCCCTAAGCCTCACGCTACTGCATCTGTCATGTGTTTTACAACCTGGCACGACACAACAGGCGACAAGCATGAACGCTCGCGGCAATCTCGTTGGGCGGTTTTTTCCTCATCATTAAACAGACATCGGGGATAATTTTTGGCGATCGCCAATTAGTGAATGGCAGCCTGGCAGGCGTACGCTGCTATGAGTCACTATATGGCTACTGGTGGAACGCTGTTGGTGTGCCGCAGGCCGTGGATGTCTTCTGAGCTTCCTATACTGCTGATTTATGTGAGGTGGACTCGAGGTGCGAATCAATAAATCAATCAACTGGTTCAATTACAGGCAATGAGCAAATATACGACGCATGCATCGCACCTCACTCACACTCATGCAATTGACACCCTCACACGCACAAACACATATACTGAACTAACACTCACATGCACGCACTCACACGCACAAGACCACATCAAACATACGAACTCGCACTTCACACGCATGTCGCACGGCACCCCGTGCACGCACGCACGCACGACCCGCCAGGCACGTACACGCACACACGTATTACGCAGGTACGTTACCGTATACGCCCAACGGCCCCACTCAAACACACGCACGTACACGCACGGCCAGTATGCACGCACGCGTCACACAGTCATCCCGCATCTGTGTGTGCTCCCACAACCGTTAGGTGTCGAACCTCCCTTAGTGTTAGGGGCCATAGCCAGCCGCCTTGTATGGACTCGTGTGCAATGTTGTTATTACAATATCCAGGAGCTGTTGCTTTATCTGCCCTGCTATCTGTATCTGTGAGCTACTAGTGTGGCGAATGCAGCCGTTAGCTGGCTTAGAATAGTAGCAGTAGGACGATGCGGGAAGCCCTTCTCCACCACGACACGGAAAAATGACAAACTTGTGTGCCTCTATTATTATTGCAAGCTTATAAGCTGGATACTTGCCAATTTTTTGGAGAGACATGAGTTTACGCCAGCGGCTTGTTCCCAGGCCTTTACTTACCTGGGAATTTCTATCCCTTTATCCTAATCTAGTCAGCTAAAGCCAGGCCAATCCCCTTGCCTACCTCTTACTATCCCATATGCACTAATCTGTATTTACTACTATAAGCTACATATAGCCCCTCGCGCTGATGTTGTCTGACGTCGATCGTTGTTGCGCTGTGTCGTAAACAGACCAGCTGGCTTCGTGAACGTCATCCAGTATTGGTGTTGGTGAGCAGTTGCCGGAGTTATTAAGGTCGCACAGCAGACATCTAAATGAACGTGAAAACGTCGGTGTTCCTCTCTGTTCGTGACATTCAACCTTTCTGATGTTGCTACTTCATCGTTCCTCTGTGCCGATGCACGTCAAAATCGTTTTCCCGTGATGCCTCCTGATTGAACCGAGTGTGACCGTTCTCACACGGCAAGCCAAAGGACAAAGCGGTGAGGTCATTTCATCATAGTAATGATGATTGCTTAGATCTCATTGAGTAGTTGCCGTGCACCCTCTTGTAGACGAGGTAAGGCGTACTCTGTACTCCAGCGTACACGTGAATGACGTGACGTCATTAGTACACGTGAATGACGTGACGTCATTAGTACGCAATGTAAGCGTTGTAAGACAAAGGTAGAGGCAGTAAGTGTGCGCCGCAGCCATAGATGACTCACAACCATAGATATATCTAACAAACATAGATATCTCATAAACAGAGATATCTCACACCCATATATGTATCACAAACATAGGTATTTCATAATCACGGCTGCAGCACTCGTGTTGGTCTCGCCATCTACCGGTGCGACCGTCGCACGTGTCCAAGGTCTGGGCGAGTGACACCCGCTAAGGGTAATGCTATCCCGCGGGCGTGGAGGGAGGTTACCGCAACGTGGCAGCACTAGTGTTAGGATAGTGTTAGGATTGGGTAATGCTATCCCGCGGGCGTGGAGGGAGGTTACCGCAACGTGGCAGCACTAGTGTTAGGATAGTGTTAGGATTAGGGTTAGGGTCAGGGTTAGGGTTAGGGTTAGGGATAGGGTTAGGGTTAGGGTTTTTGTATCATGATATCTGTCCCCACTCCATAGATTAATTTTTGTGGATCACAGAACCTATATATAGCGCTCCGAGATATATATGGTTAGTGTTAGGTTTAACGTTGGAGGTGTTGGAGTTAGCGTTACCGGATGAGTAATGATTTTGAAGTAAACGTCACCTGTATCACGTGACCCTCCCTCCACGCCCGGGGGATAGCAACACCCCACAGCTAACCGCGATCTTTCAGTTTTGTTATTCATCCTGATCAATTCTCCTATTGATTATTATATTGTTGTTCATAGTTTTCTTCTTCCATCTTAAAATTATTTTTTATCATTAAATCTTCTTCTTCTTCTTCTCCTCTTCTTTCTCTTCTGCCCTGTTCTTGCTCTTCTCCTCTCTTCTTCCTCCTCTCCCCCCTTCGTCTCCCAACTCCGACCCTTCGTCTTTTCCTATTACTATCATACTACTACTATTACTATCAATGGCAATGTAAGGCGAGGAGATCGAGGCAAATGCATATCAAACGTGTTGACTTTGTAGCGCGAAACGTTGCTGTTCTAACACATAATATAAAATATAAAACGAAATAATATTTATCAACTCTTTACCCAACTCAAAACTGTGTTTAGTGAACTTTTTCATCCGAGCAGTTAAAATCGTGATTTCTCCGTTAGAGCTAGACTCCTTCTATACGCCTCTGTGGCCGCGCACAGACACGTCTCAACGACGCGAGGCGTCAGTCTAAACTAGAACGAAATGACCAAAACACAGACAACGCGACACAGTTATTTATTCATATGATCAGTGGCGTAGCCAGGAATTTTTTAACGTACGAAAATGTAGATTGCAGGAGATGGTATTTGAGGCACTTTTGAGTACATGTACAGCCTTCATTCCTACGACAATTCTCATTTAGTAGAACAATTCTTATTTTTGCTTTCGGATCAACAGGGGGGGCATGGCCCCCTTTGGCCCCCTCCCCTAACTACGCCACTGCATATGTATGTGTTTTCAACTGGAGGACAAACAGGAACATGAACGCTCGCGGCATCTGGGGGTTTTATTCCTCACATAACAGACTCGGGATATATTTTTGGCGATCGCCAATTAGTGAAGGCAGCCTGGCAGGCGTAGCTGTATGAGTCATATATGGCTAGCTGTGGAAGCTGTTGGTGTGCAGGGGGGATGTATGAGCTTTATACCTGTGATTTATGTAAGGTGTAGCTCAGGTGCGAATCAATAAATCAATCAAACTGGTCAATTAAGCAATGAGCAAATATACGTACGCACGCATGCACGCTCACTCACACTCATGCATGTGCACTCACACGCACAAACACATACGAACTCGCACATACGAACTCGCACTCACACGTATGCACGCACGCACCCGCACGCACGCACGCACGCATCCGCAGGCACGTACACGCACGCACGTATACGCATGTACGTACGTATACGCACGCGCATAAACACACGCACGTACACGCACGCACGTATGTACGCACGCGTCACAGTCATCCCGCATCTGTGTTCAAAAACCGTTAGGTGTCGACTCCCTTAGGTGTTAGGGCCATAGCGAGCCGCCTTGTCTGACTCGTGTGCAATGTTGTTATTACAATAATCCAGGAGCTGTAGCTTTATCTGCACCTGTATCTGTATCTGTAGCTATAGTTGTGGCTAATGCAGCCCTAGCTGTAGCATAGTAGCAGTAGACGTGCCGGGAAACCTTCTCCCACCACGACACGAAAAATGACAAACTGCTTGCCTCTATTATTATGCAGCTATAGCTGGATACTTGCACATTTTTTGAGAGACATGAGTTACGCTCTCCTAGGTTTACTTACCTGGGAATTTCTTCCCTTCATCCTATCTAGTCAGCTAAGCCAGGCCATCCCCTTCCTACCTCTCTACTAACCTAGTGACTAATCTGTTTTTTAACTATAAGCATAATATAGCCCTCGGCTGCTGGTTGTCTGACGTCATCGTTCTGTGTGTCGTACAAAGACAGCTGGCAATCGTGACGTCATCAGTCTTGTGTTATGAGCAGTTGCCGGAGTCATTACGTCAGCACCACAGACATCTAAATGACGTGACGTCGTTGTTCTCTCTGTCATGACATCACCATTCTGTGTTGCTACGTCATCGTTCTTTGTGCCGTTACGTCATCGTTCTCTGTGTCGTGACGTCATCGTTCTCTGTGTCGCGGCGTTTATTCTCTGTGTCGTGACGTAATCGTTCTCCATGTTGCGACGTCATCGTTCTCTGTGTCGTGACGTCATCATTCTCTGTGTTGTGAGATGTAATCGTTCTCCGTGTAGCGACGTCATTATTCTCTGTGTCGTGATGTCATCATTCTCTGTGTCGTGACGTAATCGTTCTCCGCGTAGCGACGTCATTATTCTCTGTGTCGTGATGTCATCATTCTCTGTGTCGTGACGTAATTGTTCTCCGTGTTGCGACGTCATTATTCTCTGTGTCGTGATGTCATCATTCTCTGTGTCGTGACGTAATTGTTCTCCGTGTTGCGACGTCATTATTCTCTGTGTCGTGATGTCATCATACTCTGTGTGGTGACATAATCGTTTTCCGTGTTGTGATGTCATCATTCTCTGTGTCGTGACGTAATCGTTCTCCGTGTTGCAACGTCATCTTTTTCTGTGTCGTGACGTAATCGTTCTCTGTGTCGTGACGTCATCGTTATCTGTGTTTCCCGCGCAGGCATCAGCTGGAGTCTCTGCATCAGCAGCACAGACAGCTAGAGGAGGCGTGTCAGCGGCAGGAGCAGCAGCTCACAGACACGCAGGAAGCCCACCGCGCTGAGATACACCGCCAGCAACGCCACCTGGAGGCACTGATCGGCGACAGCGGACGCGCGAGGCAGCAAGCAGAGGAACAAGTGCTGCAGGCCAGGAGGGAGCTCACACGCAAACACAACGAATGTAAGTATGGAAGAGAGGGGGAGTGGAGGGGAAGGGGGAGGAGGGGAAGGAGAGGAGGATGAGGGGGAAGGAAGAGTGGGAAGTATGGATTATTCAGCAAGTATAGGATAACTTTCCTAGCCTCTGTGACATTGTCTGAAGTATACTGTTGTTGTTTACTGTTTATTGTTTACTGTTGTTGTTTGCTGTTGTAGTTTATCGTTGTTGTTTATTATAGATGAGGAATTCGTACAGAGGGAGGCTGTTGCAGCATTGTTTATTGTTTACTGTTGTTATTTGTTTATTGTTGTTGTTTACTATTGTTTATTGTTGTTTCTTATAGATGAGGAATTCGTACAGAGGGAGGCTGCTGTAGCATTGTTTATTGTTGTTGTTTACTGTTGTTTATTGTTGTTGTTTATTATAGATGAGGACTTCGTACAGAGGGAGGCTTCTGCGATCGCGTACCTGAGGAATAACGGCAAGTCCTGCGGCGTTCAGACGGACGCTAGTGCCACGACCGAGTTCTCCATCCAGACGACACCAGGGGGCGACAGTGAGCAGAGTGTGCTCACGGCCATCGAGGAAGGCAAGAGGTGAGCGGCGGGCGAATGTAGACGGCACCACCGGTAGTAGACTGGTGTCGGCCACTCCTGCTTTGTTATTCTTTCTAGGAATATTAGTGAGAAATTCACGTGAATTCCCCCTAACAAAGGGATTGCTTTGTGATTTATGAGGGATGTCTGGTAGAATAATAGTTGTTACCCTGTCAGTATCCATGGAGGTCAAAAATTAGGAAGTCAGGCGCGAAAAATAAATCGAGACAAATGTGACAACAGTAGAGAGCAGGGACAAACTCTGCATTATGTCTGCATCATCGCATCTATGTCATGCAAAACATATGCAAATAGAAGAGCTTACCATAAAAACAGTGTAGAACAGAGAGACGTTCGCATGTTTAATGACATCATCGCTGTGTCTGTGGCAGGCGTCTGCAGGAGTTGGAGGTGAAGCATCAGCAGTGTTCGCGGGAGACGGAAGCCAAGCTCGCACGCCAGCAGCAGCAGTTCGAGGCCAAGCTGCAGAGAAACAGGTGAGCATCACAGCAGCGCCATCTGCAGGCGAATCTCATAGATTTTTTACGGTTACGACGAGCGTTGACTTGACATTTTTTTCTATTAGATCTACCGTTAAATAATGACTTTGCGTTTCAGTGACCTAGCATTTTTTGACGAGCTGTCTATGGCGCCACCTATAAATTTCAAACGTTCCTGTATTGGTGAGCCTTTCATGGTGCAAGTTATAACTAACTGTGACTGCTCCTTTCTTTCAGCGAGCTAACGATGGCTGCTCTTGTGTTTCAGCAAGCTAACGCCAGCTGTTCTTGTGTTTTGTTAAACTAGCAACAGCTGCTTTTGTGTTTCAACGGCCTAATGACGGCTGCTCTTGTGGTTTAGTGGCCTATCGACGACTGTTCTTGTGTTTCAGTGGCCTAACAACGACTGCTCGTGTTTAAGTGAGCTAACGACGGCTGCTCTTGTGTTTCAGCGAGTTGATAGAGACGCTGCGGTCGCAGCTAGAGCACATGGAGCGACGATACCCTCGTGACGACGACACGACCGCAACGCCACCTACGCGCTAACGACGGCTGCTCTTGTATTTCAGTGAGCTAACGACAGCTGCTCTTGTGTTTCAGCGAGTTGATAGAAACACAGCGGTCGCAGCTAGAGCGCATGGAGCGACGATACGAGCGCGACGACGATACGACCGCGGCGCAGCTACAGCTGCAGCTGGAGAAACTCTACGATGTAGAGGAGAAGGAGCGGACGCTGGAGGAGGAGGTTGCGAGGAGAGAGAGCGCGGAGAGGGAGAGAGAGAGCCGCGCGGAGAGGGCCAGCCCACTAGGGGAGAGCGGGGAGGACGACACGACTGCCTTGCTACCTGAAGGTAGGGAGAGAGAGAAGGAGAGGGGGAGGAAGAGGGGGAAGGAGAAAAATAATAATCCGACATTCCATTATACACAATAAGTGTACGGAATGTCAGATTATTCTTTTTTCAAATATTAACAACTGAATACTGAATATAGTAGAAAAGTTATATATATATATTATATATATATACTATATATATATATATATATATATATATATAATATACATATATACGTATATTTATTATAAGTCATTATCATATTACATCATCACCATCATGTTGTTGTCACAGCCTCCTCACAGAAGAGAAAACTTCCGTCCAAGTCTGAGAACAAGTTGGTGAAGATACTGAAGAGTTGGTCAACAGAGGGCGCTGACAAGCCTGCGATCGCTCGCGATGATGCTGCTGTCGTCGCCCTCGCCAACGCATCCGTCCACGAGCCGGAGATGGCTTCTGTGAAGCCCCGGCAGCAGCAGCAGCTGAAGACGCACGCAGAGGCTGCGTGCGAGGATGCGGGGATGAAGCCAGCCGGGGAGCGAGCGAGAGGGATGCACAACAGTGAGCACGGGGGGATACAGGGGGATGCAAGGATGTTGGAGATGTTGAGGATGCAGGGGTGCGGGGAAGTTGGGATGCTGGGATGTTAGGGACGCAGGGATGGTTAGGACGTAGGGATGGAAATAAGGATGCTGGGTATGTTGTGATGCAGGGATGTTGAGGATGCAGGGATGTAATGATGCTGGGTATGCTGTGATGTAGGGATGCTGGGATGCAGGGATGTTTGGGACGTAGGGATATAAGGATGCTGGGTATGCTGTGATGCAGGGATGTTGAGGATGCAGGGATGTAAAGATGCTGGGTATGCTAGGTATACTGGGATGTAGGGATGCTGGGATGATGGGATGTAGGAATGCAGAGCATTGAAAGGATGCTGGGATGCATAGGTGCAAACCAGTTCCTGTTGTGAGAAATACTCAGTCAATAATATTTAACATATTAATGTTCTGAAGATGATGACAATTATTCGAGATACTAATATGATGAGATCAGATAAGATAAGTATCATATGAAGTTAAATATAATTTTTTTTAATAATTTAATAGCTTTGTGTATGTTTCTAACCCTACCGTGTTTTGCTTATTTGTGACTGTCGTGTTGTTTGTTTCCAGGATCGTCGGCAAAACGCAAGCAGCTGTCGCTTCCCCTCACCTCGACCACTGCACCGGGAAGTAAGCGGTTACGCAGCCCACGCAGTCCCAGGGGGAGGGGCCTCATCTCCCCCTCCCCCCGCACCCCAGCAGGGAAGGGCCTCGCCTCCCCCTCACCTTCTGCAGGGAAGGATCTCGCCTCCTCACGCAGTCCTACAAGAAGGGGTTACACCTCCCCCTCACCCTGCAGCCCTGTTGGGAGAGGCCATGCCTCCCCCTCTCCCCGTAGTCAAAGGAATAGGGGATACACCTCCCCTTCCTCTAGCAGCCCTGCAGGCAGGGGCAGCTCCTCCCCGTCCCCGCGTGACCCGGGCAGCGGGGGAGGAAGTCCGTTGGCTTCCCCGCGGAGAGACGCGAGCATCAACACGCGTGCGGCCGCTGTCACCGCCCGCCTCACCGCCTCCATTCAGGACCGCTCTGCCGAGCTGCGCCGCCAGGCGGCAGCACAGGTAGCCGCGCGCCGCGCCGCCGCCAACCAGGGGGCGCCGCCTCCTGCCGCCGCGAAACCGGAGCTGACGGTGGCGCCCCCGCGGCGGCGCGCTCGCCTCTCGTCGCTGTTTGCGCGCGGCACGAGCGTGAGTCCCGCGGAATCGCGTGACGACGTCACAGCGGCGCCCCCTGGCGAGGGGACACAGCGGCGGGGGGAGTCGCGGGGGACGGCGCGGCTGCGGCGGGCGCTGGAGAACGTGCGAGCGACGCTCTCTTGTCGTGAGCTCGCGCGCCGTCACGCCGCCGCCGACGCCGACACGCAGACCGGCCACTGGGGGGCGCCGCCGTCTCCCGCGCTCGTCCGCCGCGCGTCGTCGTCGCGGCGACGACGATTCACGCAGCCTCCTCCGGGGAAGGCGCGGTCGGAGGAGATGCTGCTGTCGGTGGCGGCGGCGTCGGGGAGCGTGCGCGGGGAGAGATCCGTCCCTTCCGGGGAGCGCTCCCGCAACGCCGCCGCGTTCGTCGCCGAGATGCGGAGACGGGACGCAGGCATCGTCGCGCGGCGCGGGGAGGCTGCGTCGCCGCGGCAACGAGCGCCCAGCGACGATTCTCTCTTCGCGTCGGGTGGCGCCCTCTCTTCACCGGCGACGCACTTCGACGCCGTTGCCGACCTTATCCGGTTCGAGGATGCTGCTGCGCGCGCAGAGGATGAGGATGCTGCTGCTGTTGCCGAGCGATGGACGAAGGCCGAGTCGTGTCCTGACCTGCTGGACTGGCGGGAGCTAGACGGCCCCCGGCCAGACTTCTTCAGGATATACTACAGCCAGAGCGACAGCGACGGCGCCAGTCTAGACTCGTTCGACGGCAGCACCCCCCACGATGGCGCCGCCCTGGTGTTGAACGCGGCCGGGGTCGCCGGCGGCAGCGCGGACTCGCTCGAGGAAGCGGCGCGGGATGGTGGCGCCCTCTGCGACGCGGCGTCGACGTCGGGCCGCGACACGGGGCTGGTGAGCAGCGGTGAGTGGGCGGAGGCTGCGGCGGGGTCGTTGCCCGCGGCGATGGCGGGGGCGTCGCCGGAGTCAGGTCGTCACACGGCCGGCAGCGAGGACTCAGTGCTGCTGACGTGCAGCGACGATTCCCTCGACCGCCCCTCCTCCTCCCCCGCTGCCACCGCCGACCTCCCTCTCTCCCCCGCGCATCGCGAGGACCCACTCCTCCCCCTCGATCGCAACTCGCCGCTGAGGCGGTCGACGCGACGGCGGAGGGGAAGCCTGAGGGAGAGCGTCGCCGCGAGGGGGCGACACCCATCGCGGACGGACGACGATGGTGACACGGCGACGAATGGCATCGTTCGCGTGACGTCGGAAGCAAGCGTTGATTGGACGGATGCGCGGGACGACGCGGCGGCTCAGGAGGAGAGGCTGCAGGGATGTGGGGTGGAGGAGAAGCAGGAGGAGGAGAAAGAGGAGAGGGAGGATGCTGATCTCACAGAGTTGATTCTGAAGCTTCGGGAACACGCGACGGACGGTGGCGCCACCTTGCAGCCGCACGTCGACGACGGAGAAGGTGGGCGGAGTTACGACGAAGACAGCCTGCTGTCTGAAGACTCAATGGAAGCATGTGCCAAGAATGAAGCCAGGAGAAGGGAGGAGGATTACACAGAGAAGGATCCCTTGAGAAGGGAAGAAGACTGCACAGAGAAGGATCCCTGGAGAAGGGAAGAAGACTATACGGGGAAGGATCCCTTGAGAAGGGAAGAAGACTTGCATCAGGAAAGGATCCTGGAGAGCACGAGGATGAATGCATGGAAAAAGAAACCAGGAGAGGGAAAAGAGACCACGTGCATAGAGAAGCTCACTCAGGGATAGAAGCAATCACAGGAAAAGACGAGCTACTCAGAGAAGGAAAGTCAGCGAGGAGAAAGAAACCGCTCACAGATAGTAAATACACAGAGAATAGAGAAGACACCAGAGAAGAAAGACAACACAGACGCAGGGGCCTGGATGGGGAAGGAAGACTACCCCAAAAAGGAAAACCACATGATAGACCAAAAATACCGAGTAAAGGAAGCCTTGATGGAGAAGGACGACTACAGAGAAAAGGAGAGCCTACATGATAGACCAAGACTACACAGAGAAGAACGCCTGTATTGCGAGGCTAGAGAAGGAAGACGCTGCCGAAAAGAGAAGTCTATACGGTGAAGGAATCTAACAGAGAAAGGAAAAGACTACATAGAGGATAAAGGAACACGGAGAAGGAAGCGGACGACACACGAAATAAAGACTATGCAAAGAGTGAGAAGATGTCAGAGAGGAGGGAACAGAGAGGAGAAGGCAACGCGAAGGGCAAGGAACGCTCAATCTATTGCCTCAGCCCTGCACTTGTCAGTCCATCGCTCACCTGCATGCTCAATTCACCGCCACTCCTACACTCAGTCTTACGCTCATTCTCACGCACAGTCCTGCGCTCAGTCCCACGCTTGCTTCCTCTCACACACTCGCGAAGTCGCTCAGTCTCACGCAGTCTGACGATGGTGGCATGGAATGGCACCCTCCAACACAATCAGCGCCCCCTCGCTGCCTCCGCCACATCACCGTGCGCGCCACCTGGGGAGTGTGAGATAAAACTCAGATGTAGAAACAAGATTCGTGGCCGTGCCCAGTCAGTCCAGGTCAAAAGGTCAGCAGCGAGGCAACGAGGCCAGGGTCATCGAGAGTTCAGGAGGTCGTGACCGAGCGTCAGTGAGAGGTCAGATGTTATGGCCGAGGTCAGCACGAGGTCAGATTCATGGCCGAGGTCATCGAAAGATCAGAATGTTATGGCCAAGGTCACAGTGAGAGGTCAGATGTCATGGCCCGAGGTCATCGAAAGCGTCAGATGTCATGGCCGAGGTCAGCGAGAGTTCAGATGTCATGGCCGAGGTCAGCGAGAGGTCATGCGTCATGGCCGGAGGTCAGCGAGAAGTCAGATGTCATCGCCGAGGTCATTGAAAGCGTCAGATGTCATGGCCGAGGTCACGCAAGACGTTGCAGGACGTGCAGCAGCGAGGATTCGAGGATCGGACGACGCTGCTGCGGGGATGCCAGGGATGAGGATGCAGCAACAGCAGCAGCTTCAGCTTCAGGTAGGTGTGGTCAGCTGACGAAGCGAGTGGGGAGGGATGAGGTTTGCGATAGTCGATAATGCAACCGGGTTTGCATTTGGAAAAGTGTATTGTGGACTTGTTGGCTGCTGCGTGCAATGAATGAGTGGCTATTTAAAATGTTGTACAGTAAACCTCGATTATGCGACCGAAACGGGCGGGGCGAGATTTTGTTGAGATAAATGATCTGATCGTATTACCGTTAAATATTAACTGGACCTTGAGAATCTTGTTCGGATAATCAAAATTCGGATAATTGATGTTCGGAAAACGCAGGTTTGACTGGCATTGTTTCATCAATGCTAGTTTATTATGAATTATATTTTAATCAAATGTTGGTAGTTTTACCAACATTTATTTACAGTTTTTTGTTGGAAAGAACTCAGTTTTAAATGTAGCACGTGCATGCCTTCCTTTTGAACTATTCAAATCTCGTAAAAAACTGTTCACACTACTGAAGACAAATAACTCGTGCATCATACTCTCACACGTGCTCTCTGCTTCCTCTCCAGCGCTCCCACGCTTGGACCCCGGCTGACCATCCAACAGTCTCCGATCAGCCTATCTTTACAGGCGCCAGCAGCAGCTTCAACACGGCTGACACGCCGAAGCCTCCATCTCGCACGTTGCTAGCAGACGACACGTTGCGTCGCCATGGCGACCGCGCAGCCTCCGACTCGGAGGAGAGAAACAGCAGTGCGCCCGTCGGACGACGCGGCAAGGGTCGGCGCCCGCCAGGTCGCGACCAGGTCCGTCCGTCGCGGGCGACGCGGAAGCTCCGCGGCGTGTTGCCGCGGCGACCAGCCGACAGCTGGACGTGTACGCGACTGACGTGAGAGCGGCCTGGCGACTTCTCGGACAACTCGCCCTCGCCAATCGGTACGAGGCGGCAGGCGGGCGCCCCACCTCCGCCTCGCATAGCCAGGAGTGTAGCTGCAGGCCTCCAGCCGGTGGTCGTGCCGCCATGTGCACATGCCTAGGGGGCGGCTACCGACATTATCTACTTGATATCAGGGGACGCTGTGCCCACAGCCCTTCCCCCCCCCGGGCGCCCCCCGCCCCCATACCAGGGGCCGCCACAGATACCTCTAATGCGCAGTGTGGAGGGCGCTCCATCAACACCAGCCACCAGGGCGTGTGGCGCCGAATACATCATCTTGCCAGAGCGAATAAGAGGGCGCCACATCCGCCAACGCGTCCCAGACGGCAGCACAGACATTTTATTGAAAATTTACCAGCGAGTGGCCACCGTTCAGGACAGCTTCTAGAGGGCGTCAACAAACATATCTGACAGGATTCACGGCGGTCGCCCCCGCGCGGGGTGGCAGCACCGGCGCAACAACAACTACCAGGGGCGTCCACAGACATATCCGACAACACAACACGAGGGGCGACACACTCAGCGCCCTGCACGACGGTCAGCCATCAACCGACTCCTATCTGCCGTTGCTGCCGCACGGCACAATTCGCCGAAGAATTGCACCACCAAGTGGAGCCCGGACCGAACGGCACAGGCGGTGGGCAGTGCCCGGCCCAGCGCTGTCCCCTGCATGCAGGGGGCGCTGCTGCGCGCGACGGCGCAGCGAGGCGGGCGCGCGGCTGCGGGTGACCTCTTGCCGGAGCGCACGAGAGATGGCTTATCGACTACTCAGTCTATGCGAGACGATGGTGGTGAACCCCAGCTGTCGCGCCGATACTGAAGAGAGAGGAGGGGTGGCAGTAGCATGCTGGTCTATTGATAGTAGTATATGCAGAATGATACTATCCGGGACCAGCAACGACATAGATTGCTAACCGTGCCTTGATAAATGGTTTTGGAAAGGGAGGGATGCTCTACGACACAGCCAGCAGGGACACAGCATATAAATGCCAAACTGGGCCTGCTAAAGGATTGGAGAGAGGAGGGACAGCAAACCATTCGACCAGGACATTAATTCGAATGCCACACAAGCTCTACCAGGACAATAGCAATTATAGAGTGCCATAGCAGGCCTTGCTAAAGGCATGGGGAGTAGCGCGTGCCAAGCGCACGCACGCAAAACCAGTGTCAGGAATTAAACCCATACACACAACTCTACCAGCGGACACTTAGCAATATAGATTGCCAACCGGCCTTTCTAAAGATATGGTAGAGAGAGGGACAGCAAATCATGACCAGGACATCAACCATACACACAACTCTACCCAGGACACTAGCAATATAGATGCCAACCAGGCCTTGCTAAAGGATAGAGAGGGGGCGACAACAAACCATGACCAGGACATCAACCACACACACAACTCTACCCAGGATACTAGCAATATAGATGCCAAGCAGGCCTTGCTAAAGGATGGAGAGAGAGGGACAGCAAACCATGACCAGGACATCAATCATGCACACAACTCTACTCAGGACACTGGCAATATAGATGCCAACCAGGCCTTGCTAAAGGATGGAGAGGAAGGGTCAGGCCATGGCGACGACACAACACAGGACACTACCTGCATTGATAGTACCACCACCACTGCAGAGAAGGAAGAGGAGCTGAGAGAGAAGGAAGACAACAAGGAGATGGAGGAGAAAGATAAGGTGGAAGAAGAGGAAAAGGAAGAGGAGGGAGTCGCCAGGAGGCACGAGGATGCAAAGCAGTCGAAGTGCGACCACGAGATGGCGCCGCTGCTCGTTGTCGACGACGTCATCCTCGACGTTGTTGCCGTCGGCAACAACATAGCTGATGGCTTTATTGTTGGTGACGTTGCTGCTGGTGACGTCACAACAAATGGCATAGATGATGATGTCACTGCTGGTGACGACATCACAAATGGCATAGATGATGAGTCTCGCATTAGTGACCTGTGCGAAGAGACAGAAAAGAAAGACGGCAAAGCAGGAGGACAGAACGTCAAAGCAGGTGATCAACAAGATGACGTCGCATACAAAAGACGAGAAAGCGAAACACCAGAAGAGCTACAAGGACCTGAGGAACCGGACAACCAACACATGCCATCTTCAGCGAAAGAATCGGAAGAAGACGACAGCAACGGCAGCTCCCCCTCTAGCACGACCCCTAACTATGTATTTGGCAAGGCGGTCCCCACCACCACTGCAGAGAAGACAGAGGAGCTGAGAGAGAAGGAAGACAAGAAGGAGATGGAGGAGGAAGATAAGGTGGAAGAAGAGAAAAAGGAAGAGGAGGAGGAGCCGAGGAGAAACGAGGATGCAACGCAATAGAGGTGCGCCCACGAGATGGACCCGCCGCTTGTTGTCGACGATGTCATCCTCGACGATGTTGCCGTCGGCCAACAACATAAGTGATGGCTTCATTGTTGGTGACGTTGCTGCTTGGTGACGTCACACAAATGGCATAGATGATGGACGTCACCACAAATGGCATAGATGATGATGTCACTGCTGGTTGAAGACATCAAAAATCGCATAGATGATATGTCTCGCATTAACTGACCTGTGTGAATGAGACAGGAAAGAAAGACGACAAAGCTGGAGGACAGAACGTCGAAGCAGGTGATCAACAAGATGACGTAGCATACAAAAGACGAGAAAGCGAAACACCAGAAGAGCTACAAGAACCTGAGGAACCGCGACAACCAACACATGCCATGTTCAGCAAAGAATTGAAGAAGACGACAGCAACGGCAGCTCCCTATAGCACGGCCCTCCAACTACGTCTTTGGTGAGCGGTCCCACCACCACTGCAGAGAAGGAAGAGGAGCTGAGAGAGAAGAAAG